ATTTTCTGTTTTGTTTTATTCTTGGATCAGGCTTTAAAGGGATAACTTTACCTGGCGCTCTTTAAATCCCCCGGGCTGCAGGAGTCCAGCTCTGGACAGATCTGCCTCAGCATGTTGCAGTAGTTCTGGGTCTTAAACTGCGCCGGGCACAAAACCGCTTTACAGCCGACCTGTGGAGAGACGAGCAGAGGTTTAGCCTCATCTGGGGCAGAAGATGGGCCCTGTCCTCTCTTTTCCAGCCCCCCCAGGTCTGGGACCACTAAAGGGGACTTCTTTGGGTCACCAGCTGCTATTTGTCCACAGATGAGAGCAGCGTAGCTAATTTAGACGTTAAAAAAAACCTTAAAAACTCGATTAATGAGGTTCTTGGATCACATTTCTGGAAACACAGGTTTGGAAACACAAAACTTCGCTTCGCAAACGAACAAATTTAAGAGAACGTGTCCAATAAAACAAATGAAGCCACTGATAAAATCCAAAAGTTTTAGGTTTCAAAACTGATTTTGAAAGAATTTAAAAACCATAAGCTATGCATCATGGATCTTTCAAATTTAAAATGTAAATGTAAATGTACTTTATTTTTACAGTGCTTTACAGGTAATAAATAAAAGGAGGGTAAGTAAGAACAATAAAAAACAATGAAAGATCAGAGAAAAACAATCAAATACGACTAAATCTAATAAGATAAAAGTGTCATTCCTATCCGTAATAGGAAGGTTTTCAGCCTGTATTTGAAGGTTTGCATTTTCAGTTAATTTTTTTCTGCATTTTTAAAAATTTTGGCCTTTGAGACCGGATAAAAGATGGAGGATGAATCCCACCTTGCGCAGGGCGACCTCCACCTCCTGCGTCTGGTAGGCCGGGTTCACGGACACCTGTCGGATGGTCAAACACACATAGGGAAAGAAATGAGACCTTCTGTAGTCTTCTGCTACCGTTTCTGTTCGTTACTTCCCAAAATCCCTCCAGTGATAAAGATATACAGTATCTCAGATATCTGCTCACAGGGAAGCAGGAGGCTGATTTTTTTCAATTAAACCACACCGGCTTATTTATGTGAGACTCTAAACCTGAGAGGTGAAAAGCAGTGGAATAAAGATAAATATCCACCTGGATTGTTTTCTTTAGGTTTTTCCCCTGTTTAGACATCTTGATGGAGTCAGAAAGTTGCATTAAAAGTTAACTTGAATAATTTAATTAACTTTATTTGTCTCCTGTGAAGAGTGCGTCTTCATTGCTACTAAAAAATGACTTTTTTCCCTGTTAAAGCAAAAAAGTTGGACATTTATACACATTTTGTGGTGGGAATTGGGTCAAAATAAAAGGGTAACAGACAAATCAGACTGTCTTTCGTATAAAAACCGACCAAAATCGGGATCAACTTGGTGGTTTTTCTCTCCTTTGGTAAAATTTGTGGAAACCAAAAAGCTCTGAATCAGACTTAGAATAAAGCTGGTCAAGTTTATTTTGACACACGATCAGAATATTCATGTGCATTTTAACTCATTGACTGCCAGCCATTTTCAGAACAGAGTCCCATACTGCCAGAGTTTTTTGAGCATTTTGACTGATTTTTCAAGAGCCACAGAATAGTTTGTGCTATGACTATGTAAACACCGAACACACCAAAAGAAAGAGTAGACTCTCTTCTTTCATCAGGAAAAAAAATTGTTTCTACCTTATTCCGTTCTTCCTCGACTTGCGTCTCACCGGCGACATGTTCTCTCATAGAACCGTTACCTTTTTCTTATTTGCCTACAGTCTATGCTCATCTCCCATCAAAGGTGGCACTGCCCCCTAGAGGGTCAATTTGTTACTACATACTCTGTCTAGAAGCCCATATTTACGGACAAGCTTTAGCAGATCGTCCCCCAGCCACTCTCGTTGAAAAACATAAAAGACGTCTATAGACGTCTTTGGCAGCCAGTGAGTTAATGATCGCTGTTCAAATCCAGGCATTTGATTGGACTCACCATGATGATCCCGGCTTTGGCCGTGGCGAACTGGAACAGGATCCACTCGTAGGTGTTGGGCCCCCAGATGCCGAGGCGGTCCCCCCTCCTCAGTCCCAGGGCCAGCAGGCCGGCAGCGGCCTGGTCCACCTGCAGACACACGGAGGGGTCAGGGGTCAGGGGTCAGGGGTCAGGGGAAAGGGGTCAGGGGAAAGGGAAAAGGGGCGGAGCCTCAGAGGTTCCTCCTGGTTCTCCTCCCTGTGGAGGGTTCTCAGGTGTGTCCACCTGGGAGGAGGGCCCAGGATCATAGATACGGGATTACAGATCCCATCAGGCCTGCAGAGGGTTTAGAAATAAAAAAAATCCCTATGGGATTATTATGTTTATGTTTATGCATTTGGCAGACGCTTTTATCCAAAGCGACTTACAGAGTAGACACAATATTATATTTCTCATCACTATGACAATAAGCTATTAAAGTATTTCTGATTCTGATTCCAATTTCTGATTAGCTGGCAGAAGCTAATTCATGTAATTTGTGTCTATACTTCAAATTAAAGTTAGTATTTAGGGGGCAGATTTCAGAAAATGTTTTTATTGTTCCTCACATGGAAATTAGGAAATGACATCACAGCAGCATCTGTTTATTACTTTATATAATATATCTTTTATATTATACATACATATCTATCTATCTATCTATCTATCTATCTATCTATCTATCTATCTATCTATCTATCTATCTATCTATCTATCTATCTATCTATCTATCTATCTATCTATCTATCTATCAGCCGGCAAACAGCAGAGAGGAAGTCTTGGGGTTTCTGTGGTTTAAAAAGCAAATTACTTGGACAGAAACTAGCTGCCCAACATTCTTACAACAATAGAGAGAAGAAAAAAATTAGTCCAACTCTTTCTCCATTTTCTCCATTCTTGAGAGGATTAAGGGGCCTAAAGTAACAAAGGACCAGGCTTTGGCTCACTCTCAGGTTTGAGTATTATATTTCCCATATTGATAAACTGGTTACACTTTTACAGGCCTTGAAAGGTGCATTTATGCTCCCAAGTCGAAAATGGGCAAAGTTTCGGGCTATTTTTCCCCAGACAAGAGTAAAGCAAACCTGTGACACGTCGAATGGAAAAAATCTGGACACATAATATCACCAAGCTCCTCAGAGGCGTTCATGCTATTGGATTATTCAGATTTGAGCCTCTTATCAAACCAGGACAGAAACCAAAAACCGGGGTTCAGATTTCTCCATAGCTTTTGATTTTATCTCCATAAAAGCAGAATAAAATCACACTAAAACTAGACAAAGGGACTCTGGCTACCATGAAGCTGCCAGGTCTGGTCCTGGGGGGGTTAAAGGCCTCATAAAAACTGAATGTTAGCATTTAGCAAATTCGAGGACTGGCTTTAGTCAACCTCTACCAGAGTCTGCCCAATTTAGCCTTTTTAGGTAACAAGAGGGGAATTCCAAAGGCCGAAAAAAGACTAATGATGACAGGTTTTCTGGTAGCAGCCAGAAATATTCTTTGTAAATGGAAGAGCCCACATAGACCAAAAATTAAGGAATGGCTTGAATTTATCAGAAACAACTGCTCATGAGGTCACGATAAGTAAAGCTACCCAAGCATTTATTCTGATTACAGGGTTGCTAAAAACACTGACTTTTTTCCCTGTTAAAGCAAAAAACTTGGACATTTATGCACATTTAATGGTGGGAAGTAGGCCAAAATAAAACAGTAACAGACAAATCAGACTGTCTTTAGTATAAAAAACTACCAAAATCGGGATCAACTTGGTGGTTTTCTCTCCTTTGGTTAGATTGTGGAAACCAAAATGCGCTGAATCAGATTTATTTCATCAGGCCGTCTCACATGAATGAAAGTGACTGTTTTTCTGAAAGGAGTCCAGCTCCCAGAGAGGGCTGCTTGATACTTAGAATAAAGCTGGTCAAGTTTATTTGACCAGTGTTGCTAAAAATTCTGAAGGGATTTGGGGTGCGATGTATACTATATCTGTAAACAGATAACAGATAAGTGCCGTCATGTTCTGTGTTGCTGCCAATGTTTGTGTTTTGAATGTTGAATATTGAATGGCATTTCTCTGTTGTTGTTTTATCATCATAAAAGCAAAAAAATAAATAAATGTAAGGACAAAAATATTGCTAAACTGCTAAAATGTTAGCAGTTAGCTCAAAAGCTAACAGTGGCAAACCAGCAATTCGACCTGTGAAAAGGCCAAGCTTTTCAGACCATTGGCTTTGTTTTTTTTCCCATATTTAATACGTGAGTAGGGGGGGTTAATGACTCACATCTTGCTGGAACTGTGCGAAGGTCTTTCGGACTCGGTCCTCCACGAAGACGTAGGCCTCCCGGTCGGGCCATCGCTCCACGGTGCTCTGCAGCACCCCCCCCACCGTGTGGTGCAGCATGGACACGGAGGCGGTGCCGTGGGCGTAGCTGGTGACCAGCGTGGGCTCGATGGGCGGGTGGTCCACGTGGATCCATCTGAGATCACATGATCTATGTAAATTACTGATTGTTTTATTTCCTTTTAGTTTCCTTTTATAACTAGTCTTCAAAGTCCATGCTATGTGTATACAAAGGAGGAGTGGACACAATACACATAGCATAGTATGCTAGCACATGATCTATGTAAATTACTGATGCGTTTTCCCTCTGAGATGGATGAGGGAAAGTTAGCCGGAGCTAACCGTAACCGGGCCTAAATCTGCTGGAACGGCCCGTTTACCGACCTGGGTGTTTACCCGATTCTTTAGTTGGAAACCTGAGAATAAAGCAGAGTGGATCAAAAATCTGAAAAATAACATTTATTGGACACAGTTAACGCATTGGGTGCCAAAGACGTCTATAGACGTCTTTTATGTTTTTCAATGAGAGTGTCTGGGGGACGATCTGCTAAAGCTTGTCCGTAAATATCGGCTTTTAGACAGAGTATGTAGTAACAAATTGACCCTCTAGGGGGCAGTGCCACTTTTGATGGGAGATGAGCATAGACTGTAGGCAAATAAGAAAAAGGTAACGGTTCTATGAGAGAACATGTCGCCGGTGAGACGCAAGTCCAGGAAGAACGGAATAAGGTAGAAACACATTTTTTTTCCTGATGAAAGAAGAGAGTCTACTCTTTCTTTTGGTGTGTTCGGTGTTTACATAGTCATAGCACAAACTATTCTGTGGCTCTTGAAAAATCAGTCAAAATGCTCAAAAAACTCTGGCAGTATGGGACTCTCTGTTCTGAAAATGGCTGGCAGTCGATGAGTTAAAAGGGACATATTATGCAAAACCAAGTTTTTAATCATTTGATTATGTACATTTGGGACTGTGGAGGGCCTATCAGAAGGCAAAGTGTGAAAAAAAAAGACTCAGTCATGTTTTTGTGGGCTGCCTCAGTCTGAATCCAGGAGATAAATCAGGAGGTTTCAGGAGTGGGTAGTTTCTGACGTCATTAGCTCTAGCTCATTATAATATTCCAGCCTTTCACCTGCATGTTGCCCCCCCCCCTCAGCTTACTCCGCCTATCTGTGGAGACGTCCTGGTAGCGTGAGCGTTAGCATGGTAGTGTTAGCATGGTAGCGTTAGCGTGCCGACGTGGGCACACCTCCCTGAAGAAGTGGGTGGATTGCCTGTGTCTCATTTGCATTTAAAGAGACAGGCACTCCAAAGCGAGCGCTCTGAACGGGGCTGTTTTGGGTTAGGGTTAGGGTTAGGGTTAGGGTTAGGCAGGGGGACTGAACTGCTATTGGGCTTCATCCTTATGGGATTTTAACCAAAGCTAGTCACAGACATTACATCAGGACACCAGGGAACTAGCTTAACTTGTTGAAATGGGGTATAATATATAATATGACTCCTTTAAAAGAACACCGAGGGAGCCCTGGTCTGCCAACACAAACAAGGCTGCAGGTCCAGGATTTCTGAATAGTTAAAAATGTGTTAACTGGTCACCCAACACCTGAACTCATTTACAGTGAGAATGTGTTGATCCGCCTCCTCTTTTCTCCACTTTTAATCTAATTAACAGAGTTTTTCTTTGGACGTTCGGGACCTTTTCACTTCATTTTCGGGCGCCTAACTCAAAGGATGAGCCAGTGTTGTGTCCCCAAACTGGATCTTTAGGCTTTTTGTTACCAGCAGCTGGTCACAAAAAAGCCTGGACAGCTGTTCCTGAAGTTTCCTTAAAGACAGGACACTCTGTACTGACTTCTCAAGCTCATTAGAACTGGATATGCTCAGTTTTTTTGCATTTTTTAGCTTGTTTTCGTTTAGATTTGCACCTTTCAAATTGAGATATCCACCTATTTCCTGGTGAAAAAGGCTTTTGTGAATGGTTTCAGGCTGAGTTTAAACACAAAACTGTAAAGAACGGTACAAACTACAGAACGAACTGGATATGCTCAGTGTTTTGCATTTTATAGCTTGTTTTCATTTATATTTGCATGTTTTAAATTGAGATATCCACCTATTTCCTGGTTTAAAAAAAGCTTTTGTAAATGGTTTCAGGCCGAGTTTAAACCCAAAACTGTAAAGAACTTTACAAACTACAGAACAAACTTGTATATGCTCAGTTTCTTGCATTTCATAGCTTGTTTTTGTTTATATTTGCACGTTTTAAATTGAGATATCCACCTATTTCCTGGTTAAAAAAAAAATTTGTAAATGGTTTTAGGCTGAGTCTAAACATAAAACTGTAAAGAACTGTACAAACTACAGAACAAACTGTATATTTTCAGTTTTTTGCATTTTATAGCTTATTTTCATTGATATTTGAAAGTTTTAAATTGAGATATCCACCTATTTCCTGGTTAAAAAAAAGATTTGTAAATGGTTTTAGGCTGAGTTTAAACACAAGACTGTAAAGAACTTTACAAACTACAGACTTACTACAGACATCGTGCATTTTATTTAAAGATATGTGCTCTAAAGAGATTAAATACAAAAGCTTTCGTGCCTAAGTCTTGAGGAAGGGAACAGAGGTTCGGGTAACATGGACCCATGACCTAAGGCCTACATCATTATATTATTACTCTGTTGGACGCATAGTGAGGCCCTCACAGGGTGTGCCAGAGGTTTCCTATCTTGGAAGAAGGGCCCCTCGGCCATCTGTCTTTGCTTATTCTGCACATTTCAGACGAGTTTCTTGTAACTGGATGATTTATCTGAACGGCGTTTCACACTCCTGCTTTAAATATAGCGTAAAAACGCAAGTTTAGCAGGAAAAAAGCGGAACTTTCTTATTTGTTATTGCTCATATTGTGGTCGATCATAGACCTCTGTGTGAATCATCCTTATCCGACCACATTTAGTCACATTTTTGGGATTAATTCCCCCAGTCAATGCGACTTTTTCATGTGGGAACAGGAAAAGTATGCCACCAGGACAACGGGTTCGAGTAAAAAAAAAGTATGAAGTAATCTAATCCTGGTGCGGTTAGCTGTTGCTCAACTTGTGTACATGCATAGCTTAAAGTGGGGAGGAGACTTTTTGAAAACAATACAATCATTCTGTCGCCTGTAACTTTCTCTGCAGCAGCTCATCTCACAGTGACTTTGCTGCACAGACGATAGTTTAAACTCACATTAACAATCATTAAGAAATCCAGACTTTATTAGAGCAGAGCGGCAGACTTGAAAAGCTTTTAGGTGATCACCTGTCCTTTAAATTGGGCCGATTTTAGGTCAAAAGAAACAGAAAAATAAGCTGATTTCACACATTTTTGGAGCAGGAGTCCAAACCTCTGGTCCCCGAGGACATCCTACAGGTTTTAGACGTTTACCTGCTCCAACACGTCAGACTAAAATCAACTAACCCCCAGCTGTCAAACGCAGAATTTAACAATTTAAGAAATGCCTTCATCCTGTTCAAATAAGATGCAAAAATATGGAAGTTTAAAGTGGATATGCTATGATTTAAGAGGATTTTGTGCATTTTAAATGCATTTCTCACTCGTTTTTAATAACTTGGCTTGTTCTAACTGTGTTCTGTGCTTCTCTCTGTCCTCTAAGAGGCTGAAATTTAGATTTGTGGATACTAGAAAAGAATAAAAAAGTGTAAAAAAAAAAGGCTTTAAGTGTAATTTTCAGAACAGCGTGACAAGAGCTGCTATGACGTGGTAAGAAAAATGAGTAAAATTAGATTTTAACATGCAAGTGAAGTCTACCAAATCAAATCATTAACTTTAAGAGGAACATATTTGACTGCTCACTGTTCCCCCAAAGTTAGCTTTCCTGTTCCTGTATCTGAACTGACCCTGATTCAGAGTGGAAGCAGAGAAAATGGGGCTAAAAAAAAAAAGAAAGAAGAAAAATAGAAAAATTCCTTAACGGGATTCAGAGAGATGTGGTAAAACACAATTAGGATTCATTACAAAGCATCTCATTATGTCTCATTATATTGTACCGTTCCACTCTTTTGGCTGTTTGTTACCAACCAGATTACATAAGTAATTATAATCGTTTTAACCGAAATGGAAGCAGACATTTCGTAAAGTCCAAACAAAGGAAACGGAGCTCGTTGTGTTACATAATGACGACTCTAATGGAGTTTCTTTCCAACTTTTCGCTGTTTTCAGCGTTTCGTTGCTTGTTTTTTTTTTACTTTCAGTTTTAGTCATCTCCGCACGTGCGGTATGTGTTTTGTTTGTTTGTTTTCTGCGCTTTTTTCTCACCGAGATCCGGGTTGGCGGGTCCAGGAGGTCCGCAAAAGCCTGAAAGCCCGGGGGGGGATCATGGTGTGGACGCACTGGACCCGGTCTGCGGACTCTGGTCTTCCTCCTCTTTGCGCACACGTCTGTTTTCGCCGCTAAAACGCTGCACAAATGAGCGCAGTTAGGGGCAGTTAGCAGCAAAAAATCCCGGAAAAGCCTGATAAGGTGGAGCCGGCGCGTGGGGCTGGACTGCTTTCAAGTTTGCCGCTTTGTTTGAGACCAATTTAGCAGAAAGTCCGGTGGTTATCTTTGGATAAAGTGGAGAAATAGGCCACAAATTGTGTGCTTTAGTTTTTTTTCTTTTAATGATTTTGTACATCTGTGTGAGTCCAAAAAAGAAAGATTTTCTGACATAATTTAGTCTCCTGATGTGTGTTTTTGTTGGTTAACTTTGCTCAGATTCCCACCAAAAGATAATATTCAGATTTAATCACACGTGGATGAAGTTTTCTGTCATTGTGAGTCCGATACCAGCCTTCTTCTAAACCACAATTAGTAAAATGTGTCATGATTTAAGCCAGTAAAATGTGTTTCTAGTGTAAACACGTCCGTCTTTTGTTTGAAAACACATGAAAACATGCAGGTTTTTCCTTTAGTTTTAAATTACAGGATGCCAAAGAGAGAAAAAAAGACTAAATCTTAAAAAAAAAACACCACATATGAGAAATATATGAGAAATATATTATGTGTCCATACAATCCTTCGAGTCGTGCACGTTTCTGCACCGGAGACATTAACCCTTTCATGCATGAATTATGATCATTTCAGTCAGGATTTTTTTCAGTGTTTTTTAAAACATTATAAAAAAAGTATTATTTTTGGGGGGGAAACTGTGTTCATTCATGGATTTCTCCAGATGTCCACAAACAGTATATGTTTTAAAATGTCTTATTTTGACATTTGTTAACACAATGCATGAACATAACTTGGCATGTAAGTCTCCTCCTATCCAAATATTGAGAACTGTCTCATCGCTTTTCTCACTCCAGCTCATTGATTAATTTGAATCTTTCTCAGCTCTAACAATAGACTATTGTGGACATTTAAAAAAAATGTTTAATGCATCATGCTCCAGTGTTCATTTCAAATATAAAAACCCATAAACACACAAGAAAAATGGCTTTTAAATAGCTGTCCACTCTAGTGACCTCTATGCATGAAAGGGTTAAAACATGAGTCCGTTCGGGTGTTCATTTCAAATATAAAAACCCATAAACACACAAGAAAAATGGCTTTTAAATAGCTGTCCACTCTAGTGTCCACTCTAGTGACCTCCATGCATGAGTCCGTTCGGGTGTTCATTTCAAATATAAAAACCCATAAAACATTAAAACATGAGTCCATTCGGGTGTTCATTTCAAATATAAAAACCCATAAACACACAAGAAAAATGGCTTTTAAATAGCTGTCCACTCTAGTGACCTCCATGCATGAAAGGGTTAAAACATGAGTCCGTTTGGGTGGATTTAAGGTGGATTTAAAACATGAGTCCGTTTGGGTGGATTTAAGGTGGATTTACGGTGGATTTACGGTCCTCCCTCGGCTGCCTGGGAGCGGTCCCTGCTCAGTCGATAGTAGCGTCCCTTTTTGGAAATGAGCTCCTTGTGGGTTCCGGTTTCCACCACGGACCCGTCCTCCATCACCAGGATGCGGTGGGCGCGCTCCGCCGTGCTCAGCTGGTGCGTGACCAGCAGAACCGTCCGGCCGCGGGCCAGAACCTCCCGCAGAACCTGGGAAGGGTCGGGGGGGTTAGGGATGTCCGGTTTGAGTGAGGAAACGTATCCTGGTTCTCAGTTCCTGGAAAAAACTGGCTGATATTATGGCTGTGTACAGTCCACCGATAAACAATGTAAAAGAATACAATATACTGTCCTACAAAATGCAATATTTACATTTTTTAACTCTAAAATGCACATTTTTTACTCTAAAATGCACAATATTTACATTTTTTTTACTATAAAATGTGCAATATTTACAGTTATTTACCCTAAAATGCGCAGTATTCACAGTTATTTACCCTAAAATGCGCAGTATTCACAGTTATTTGACCAAGAATGTGCAATATTTGCAGTTTTTTAAACTACAATGTGCAATACTTACAGTTTTTTCAATTACAATGTGCAATATTAAAAAGATTTTACCCTGCAATGTGCAATATTGAAATTTTTTTTACCTTACAATGTGCAATATTTACAGTTTTTTTACTCTAAAATGTGCAATATTTGCAGTTTTTTTAACTACAATGTGAAATATTTACTGTTTTTTTTTCCTCTCCAGAGCTGTAACTCTTTAGTAGGGCTCAGTTTAATCTGAATCAGGCGTGCTGACACAGGGAAACCTGTAAAACCAGCATGGAGACATACGTCTCAGACCATAAACACACAGTAAACCAAGGCCAGCCGCTTCTCTCCAGACTGTCGTGTGTGTGTGTGTGTCTGTGTCTGTGTATTTGTGTGTGTGTGTGTGTGTGTGCGTGCGTGTGTGTGTGTGTGTGTGTGTGTGGTGTATTTGTATGTGTGTGCGTGTGTGTGCGTGTGTGTGTGTGTGTGTGTGTGTGTGTGTGTGTGAGTCTGTGTGTGTGTGTGTGTGTTTGTTTTCATGATATATCAGGACAATTTTGTGAATACACACCTTCAATATCAGGACGCGTAGAAATATGAGGACAGGCACGTATACATTTGTACTATTTCCGTCATGCGTCCTTATATATAGGGAAAACACGTGTGTGTGTGTGTGTGCGTGCGTGTGTGTGTGTGTGTGTGTGTATGTGTGTGCGTCTGTGTGTGTGTGTGTGTGTGTGTGTGTGTGTGCTGTTTTTTCCTCCTCACAGCGTGTTGTGAGTCCACATCCAGCCGGCTGGTGGCCTCGTCCAGGACGATGACCTGTGGGTCTCGGACCAGAGCTCTGATGATGGCGACGCTCTGCCTCTGCCCCGCGGACAGTCTGCCTCCGCCCTCGCCGATATCTGCGAAACCAACCGGCGACACACAGGGGTCAGGCGCTGGCCTTTGGACCTCACCTGACGTCATAAACAACAATTCCTAACATCTCACCTGTGCCATTACAGAGCCATATTTCACTGGAACCAACTGCCAATAACCACACGAACAGTTCAGGACAGAACAAGCTTAAAAAATATTGTGTCTTCAGAACTACTGCAGGTCAGAGTTAAATCAATCTAATTCATTTACTTCATTTAGAATGGGGTAAGTAAATGAATCAGATTGATTTAACTATACTGTATCTGCGCGCGGGAAGGTTAATTTTGCGCGTGTGAACATTTGACATAAAAATGACGCCATACACAGGGGTCAGGCGCTGGCCTTTGGACTTCACCTGACACACATCTGTCATCATAAACAACAATTCCTAACATCTCACCTGTGCCATTATAGAGCCATATTTCACTGGAACCAACTGCCAATAACCACACGAACAGTTCAGGACAGAGCAAGCTTAAAAAATATTGTGTCTTCAGAACTACTGCAAATGATAACATGAACTGACCTGTGTGTATAAGTTGTACAGTCTACTCTTGTTTATGTTTTTCTTATTTCCTACTGGGATTTTTATTTTTATTTTTCATGATCTGTTTATAATGTAATATAATTTCTTCATGTGAGGACCCCAGGAAGAGTAGTGGCCATTTATTTGGCAGCTAATGGGGATCCCAATAAAACTAAACTAAACTAAACCTGTGTGAGGAGTTAATATTCAACTCCTCGGACCTCCATCTACTTAAAGTTTAAGCCTAATCTGTGACCATCGGTTCAGTCCGAGTACACGGTGTGACTTTTTGTCGTTTGGGTTCAGAGCCTCCATAGTCCCGATCCGATATCGTGGGAATTTGATTTTAGACTGCTGGCCAAAAGTAGCTAACCCGATTGGTTCTATTCTGTCATGTGGGCTCAAGCCAGGTTGGTCCCGATCCGATGTTTTAGCATTAGCTTTAGCATCTGTAACCCACAGGTCTGTGTCCTAACCATTAAGTTGTTATCAGAGCATTAGCGTTAGCATTAGCATCTCCTGACCCACAGGTCTGTGTCCTAACCATTAAGTTGTTATCAGACTAAATCCCTGTTCAACATGAGTCTGACAACTAAGGAAGTAGATAAATAACTTTAAACTTTAATACATGCTGATAGGCCGGGATCGGATCAGAAGTAAAAAAAAAAAATGGAACGCGCACAAATTCAACAACCGAGAGTTGCACAAGTTTCTGCGAGCGAGCGCCTGGTTTGTTCTCAAAGGGTAACTGCACAGTTGATTTCTGCTCACGCGGGTCTACAGGACTTTTGACAATTTGGGGGCGGAAACCAAGGAGGGCACTGACTCTCTTATGATTGGTCACTTTCGTCGTGATTACAACCACAGGGACGTCCTTGTGCCTTGATTGACAGCTCCCATTACAGGAAGCACGGAGTTGGGTTAACTTACCACTGAAGAAGAGTGGGGTAAGTAAATGAATTAGTTTGATTTAACTTTGACCTGCGCAGCATTTTATACGCAGTCAGAGACATTTTATGTATATTTTTCTATGTATATTAGAAATCTCATTCTAATCATTTACTCACTTACTTATTAAAATGAGATTTCTAATATACATAAAAGGTCTTTATGATGTTTACCTGCAGGACGTGTCCCACAAATGCTGCGTGACCTCAGTTTAAGGTATATTTTTATGTATATTAGAAATCTCATTCTAATTCATTTACTCACTTACTTATTAGAATGAGATTTCTAATATACATAAAATGTCTCTGACTGCGTATAAAATGCTGCGCAGGTCAAAGTTAAATCAATCTAATTCATTTACTTCATTTAGAATGGGGTAAGTAAATGAATTAGATTGATTACACAGGGGTCAGGTGGTGGCCTTTGGACCTCACCTGTCACACACCTGACGTCATAAACAACAATTCCTAACATCACACCTGTGTGAGGAGTTAATATTCAACTCCTCGGACCTCCATCTGATTAAAGTTTAAGATTAATCTGTGACCATCGGTTCAGTCCGAGCACACGGTGTGACTTTTTGTTCAACGTGAGTCTGACAACTAAGTAAGTAGATAAATAACTTTGAACTTTAATACATGCTCTGATAGGCCGGGATTGGGATCGGATTGGAAGTGAAAAGAGCTGGATCTCCACAGCTTAGCCAGAGGACTAAAAATGAAATAAAAATAAAAAATCTAACCAACATAAACATATTCATAAAAACCGACTAAACACGTACAACCAATCTTTTCGGTACTGCGTTTTACAAAAATGCTTTGCGTATTCCTGGACACCCGAAAGTCCAGTGAAGCCGTGAAGCTCTGCAATTCAAACTCAGAAATGATCGCTCAAAGCAGGCCTAACCCCATCGACTGCCTCTAAAACCAGTTTTCATGGCAGCATATGGGAAAATTTGAATTTTTAAAGAGCCATAGTATTTAATTACTAGAAATAGAGAGGGCTAAGCTTTGAAACGTGTCCTGAAAAGCTCTGAAACGCTTCCGTTTTCTCCCTGAGAAGCCGTTTACGTGATTCCCGGATTGGAAAAGCGACCGGGTTCTGCACCTGTTTCGTACTGGTGTTCCATCTCAGAGATGAAGGCGTGGGCGTTGACCCTCTTGGCGACGTCCACGGCCCTCTCGGGGGGGCAGTCCGGCAGCCCGTATTCCACGTTGGAGCGCAGGGATCCGGAGAACAGCGTGGGATTCTGGGAAACCAGCGCTATCTGCAGAAACAGAGGGAGGAAAGACACGTGGAGGAGGCCAGAATCAACCCAAGTACGTCTGGGTAGAGCCTGCAGGAAGCCAGGGATGGATATCCAACTCCGCCCACGTCCAAGTCGGCCATTTTGATTAGGTCGTGTGACTAGCAGCTTTCTGAGGTGGAAACGAAAGTTTACTGTCTATACGAAATCGGAAGATAAACAATGTCCTAACCCTGATCCTGACCCTAAACCTGACCCTGATCCTCACCCTAACCCTGATCCTGACCCTAACCCTGACCCTAACCCTAACCCTGACCCTGACCCTAACCATAACCCTAACCGTGATCCTGACCCTAACCCTAACCGTAAACCTAACCCTAACCCTAACCCTAACCCTGACCCTGACCCTAACCCTAAACCTAAACCTAACCCTAACCCTGACCCTAACCCTAACCCTTACCCTAACCCTAACCCTCCACCCTTCATAATTGTGGGAAATAAATATTTGTTGGTTAAACTTGTTTGGACTTAATGTACAAACCTATTTAACATCCACTATTTTAACATAATATTATGGATAGAGTTTAATTCAGTGTTTGCAAGATTCATTTAAATTAATGTCTATATTGCCATGAAGCAATTACGACTTTCTTGCCTGGGATTTTCCTATTGGTGACCTAATCAAACTGGCCGACTTGGATGTGGGCGGAGTTGGATATCTGTTCTTCCCGCGGTCTGCAGACAGACATACTTGTTCTTCTCAGAGCTGCGTACCTTCTGCTGGAGGTACTTGTGTCTGTAATGGTGCAGGGGTTCCCCGTCCAGCAGAATCCTCCCGTTTCCCGGCTCATAAAGCCTCTTCAGGAGGCCGACGCAGGAACTCTTCCCGCCGCCGGAAGGACCCACCAGGGCCGTGATCCTCCCCGGCTGCAGCTCCACCGAGACGTCCTGGGGAGGGAGAGTCAGAATCAGAATCAGAAGAGCTCAGTTTAATCTGAATCAGGCGTGCTGACACAGGCAAACTTGTAAAACCAGCATGGAGACATACGTCTCAGACCATAAACACACAGTAAACCAAGGCCAGCCGCTTCTCTCCAGACTGTCGTGTGTGTGTGTGTATTTATTTATTTATTTGTTTATTTGATAGGGACAAGTACTGTATGTTTCATGAAACATGTCACACACTACAAAATTTTAGCTAAGGCTAATTCTCAACACCTGTCCCCAGTTAGGCTTTTAACACAAAACACAGTGACTGTACACAACAGAACAAATTACACACTAAAACATCACAGATAAAAGATCAAGACAGTCAGATTAATAATGTCCACATGTCTGACCTCTCAATAAAAAGGCTTTAAGTTTATGTTTAAAAAGGACCCAGTTTGACTCTCCCTTCAGTTCTGCCAAATAAATGGCCACTAGTCTTCCTGGGGTCCTCACATGAAGAATTTATATTACATTATGAACAAATCATAAAAAATACAAATAAAAATCACAGTAGGAAATAATAAAAACATAAAGAAGAGTAGAACTATACAACATATACACACAGGTCAGTTCATCACATCATCTGCAGTAGTTCTGAAGACAGTATATATTTTTCAAGCTTGTTCTGTTCTGAACTCTTCGTTGGTTCCAGTGAAATATGGCTCTATAATGCACTGTGGATTTGAGATAGTTTGTTGTGGGTCGAGGGAGTTTAAAGTCTCCACCTCGTGCCCGCCTTGTTAAGTAATTATGACTTTGTTCAACAAGGACTAAATGTTCAGCAAAAAAAGAGGGCTGTTTTTTAAGGAAAACATTCCATATAAATCCAGTGTTTTCTGTCGGATGGTGGTTCTTAGGGGAGGACTCAGATGCGGAGAGCGTTGGTTCCCGGGGTTTTATTGTAACAAAAAACACTCAGAAAGAGTGGATGTCAGAACAAAGTTCAGAACAAGGCTGTGACAAAACTATGAACAAAGTAACAAAGCAAGATTAACATGAATGTGAACAAAGCATCAAATAAAGTGAACAAAACTGTGGCAAAGTAAAAGGAGTGCAACAACCCCAAACTATAACATTCCCCTCATTTTGCAGTTTTAGTCATTCCTTTTTTATTCACTTATGATGTTTTTATCTATGGTGTATTTATTACTTTGTATGTTTTCTTATGTTTCAATGTTGTTTTAATGACGATCGTCTTTGTAAAGTGTAAAGAGTGGCATGAAAGACGCTTTTTCAAAATAAAATGTATTATTATTATTATTATTATTATTATTATTATTATTATTATTATTA